TCAGTTGTGTTGAGAAATGGATTGACTCGCGCTCCTGCAGGATATACAGATATCTTTCTTTTTCTACAGATACGGACATTGGGACTCTGAAGATGTTAATTGGGTGCTTTGGAAAGGATGTTTGCATTGTTTGTATTTCTTAGCAAATAAATAAGAAATGGATGATAAGTTGTTTGGACTCTGTAATCTTCAATCTCTGTTTTATTAACAACTGCTTTGTCTTTAGTTAATCTGGTTCTACTCCTGAATGCATCTCAGGTAATGCATTTTGTGTCATTTACTTTTGTTAGCATGCTCACTCACCCTCATCCTGTACTTTGGTCAGTGTTTTCTCATGTTTCCTAGTACCTGACAGCCCCCAGAGAGCAGGTGAGCTTGTTGCATTAAGCTAGGGGTTTTAAAAGGAGAGGATGATAGACATTTTTAAAGATTTTCCAGTTGAGAAAAAGTGAGAGTTGCACCCAGTATTTGACCAAATTGATTGCTAAATCCATACAGACTTTCTGTTGTGCAGTTCTCCTTGTCAGGGCCATAGGGACACTGTTGTCTTGTCCTTGGTTATTCTAGGACTTAAGAGGTTTAAAGAGGCACTCCAGAAAAGAAGCATAACATTTCCATAAAGTTGGGGAACTCACAAGAGACAGATTAAAAGAAGAAAGTGAAGCAGCAGAGGCCGAGCTATCTTGATTTTTTGCCTTTCGAAGGGGACAAGCTCCAAATACATGTCCCATAAAGCAACTGGATAGCGTGTAAATGCCGACTTCTTTCTAACCCACCTCCAATTTGTAATGGTCACTTTGTGTTAAAAGTTTAGAGTCAAGCCAAGATAACCCTGTTGACATCATCAGGGTTATTTTTTACAGAGAAGTAAACTCCTCTAGAGTTACAAAAGACAACAACATCTGTTTTCAAAGACTTCAGAGTTCAAAGAAATCCTGTGACCTGTAAACTCAACTTCATATGTAAAATCTGCACAGAGCCCATTTAATAACTCGAGGGGATCTTATAAAAAAATGTACATGTGGTCGGTATATTTTAGGCTGATTCCAGTATTTTTAGACTCAATATATATAAAGTCTTCTAGTGTGGTGGAATGCTTTGAAAAAAGCCTTTAGACCTTCATGTTGGGGAATAAAATATAAATAAACAGTTTACAGCGATATTAAAAAAGAGAGGGGTGCATTAGAGGGAATAAAGACTGCAGTATTTATTAAATCCATGGGGAGGCCCTTGTTCCCTGCACACCTTGCTCTTTGATTCTGACAGAAAATCTTCTGCTGTCAAACTAATTAGCTGGTGGAAATACAGTATGTCAGTTTCATGTAACATTGTCACAAACAACAAAATGAGACCAGAAATGCAATGTAAACAGCTTCTAGATGCTTAGTTAAAAGGTTAGAGGTCTGATTTTTCCTTTGCAAGTGTCATATTCAAGTTTTGAGTATTTAAACAGTTAATTCGATTTGTTTCAATAGGCTGTTTGCGTGGCACAATCAAACTCCCTCAAACCCCAATCCTCTCCTCCCTCCTTAGGCCAGTAGCAGAATATTGATTCAGCTAATTGCTGTTGCATTCATTGACGCTGGCCTCGATTACACCAAACCGCAGCTTTTAAAGAAAGGCTGAGAAGTTCTCTCAATGCGCTCTTTTAATCACTGTGATTTAGTGAGGCGTTTTGAGCTCCGGCCCCTCCATCAGTCCGATCTGCAAAACAACTCTGAGCTCCTCAACACACTGTCTGCCCTCAGTGCATCCATAACCATTAGCATCACAACATGCCTGCTTGTTCCTGACAGCTGGCCGTGCTCTGCTACCAGCGTGCCGAGGTCTCATGGTGTAATTGCTTTGGCTCCTGAGCTGCAGGAAGCTCCTCACCTGCACGTGCTCTCGTGCAATGCAAATACAGGTCGGGTATTTTTGGTACATCGTGTTGTCTTCAGGGCACGCAGGCTCAGTAGTGATGCTGGGGAAATGTGACTCTTTTTGTTGGGCTTTTACTGCTGGCTCTTTTATTGACCTTTTCAGTCTTTCTAGCCACTGAGCAACTATGGTGACCTCTGTGCTCCTCACTAGGTTTTACTAAAAGACAATTTGGACAGCTGGATATGTTAATAATAATAATAATAGTACATTTTATTTATAAGCTTTTCTAAATACTCAAAGACACTTTACACCAAAACATAAAAGCAGCAAAACAACATGAAATAGTAAAACATTAAAAACACATCAGACTAAGCTAACATTAAAAGCAATTTTAAAAAGGTGTGTTTTTGTCAGTGATTTGAATGATGGAGGGTCGGTACAGTCACGGATGTGTTTGGGGAGAGTTCCAGAGGGAGGGGGCAGCTACAGAGAACGCTCTGTCGCCCCAGGTTCGGTGCTTGGTCCGGGGTGGAGGAGTCAGAAGGTTTGCGTCAGATGAGCGGAGGCTGCGGGATGGATTGTGGCGATGGAGCAGGTCAGTGAGGTAGGAAGGAGCCTGGTTATGGAGGGCTTTGTGTGTAAGGAGGAGGATTTTGCTCTTTAAAAAATGGTATCATCTGACAAGTTTATGGTTGTTTGGGTATCCAAAGATGATGAGCTATTTATTGACTTTACTTTCTAATAAATGATCAAATTTAAAAGAGTACTCCATCGATTAAGCATTGCACTCCTCTAACATTGTCGGATTCAGAATGCACAGAGGATCAAAATTGATGCAGCAGAACCAGAGATATCAGTTTTCCTCTTCCATGTCAAAACATTACTACATTACCCACAATGCAACTGCCAACAGTTTGAACAAAGATACAAAGATTTGGGTGTGTTATGCTAGTAGCAAGCAGAGAGATCTTCTAAGCTCAATTCTTTCTATCTCCACACCTCCAGATTTGTTTAATTTTCAAACTAGTAGTCTTCGGCCCCAACTGATGCTGACTCAAGTGACATCACTCGAGGCATTTTTTTTATCAGACTTCATACAGCTCCCTCTCAAGATGCAAAATACTTTTCCACATACTGCTGATTATTTTCTCATTGACATGATTGTTTGCTCTATAAAAATGTAAAAATGTAGGAAACGCAAATTTCCATAGCACAAGGTGACATCTTCAAAGTGCTTTTGTCGTCTGACCAACAGTCCAAAACCAGACGATCTTAACAACAAAACAGTCTAAACTGAAGGTCCACGTACTTGCTTGTTCTGGAGCTTTCAACTGTATCACACAGTCATCATCAGCAGATTGAGGAGTTTTCACATAAGATCAAGAAAAGAAAAATTCTCACATTTAAGAGGCTGGAACTAGGTAACATATATGCTTAAAAATTACAGTAATGATTTATTGATGATCAAAACAGCTGATTATGTTTCTGTCAATTAACTGATGGATCAACTGACTTATTGTGTCAGCTCTTATTGGGCGACATGATCTTAGAATGACAACTTTTTCAAGGTTCCAGACCGTCATGGTTCATTTGAAAAGTTTGCTTCCTCTTCTTACTTCTGTCTGAAATTATTTAGATGTTACTATTTCCGGGGGCCTTCATATGCTTTTATGAACTCACCACTGAGGATTTTAGGCAGTTTTAATGCCACAGAAGACCAATATCCATTTCTAAAGTATCCGATTGATGTGAGTTATTGCTTTACACATTGGACAAATCTAATTATAGTTTTGAGCCTTGAATAAATGCTGTGAATCATAGCCTGACAGTGATGAATTTCACAGCTGTCTTACTGTTTCCTGGTGTTATAAAGACCCGCTGCCAAGGTGAACGTGAGAAAAGGCCCCTTTGTCTTTTAACCCTAATTTAAATGTTCTCACAGTTTTTCTTTTTGTACTTCATGGTTGGCCAAGCAATTAAACATGAAAAGGTACTGTCACTTGTGCGTTTTGGTTATGAGTGAATAATGAAAGTGCAACCCAACTTTTACATCTCACTCATCATGTCATTTTATTACCGGTGGAATAAATGTGTGTTTCTCCCCATGTTTCCCTAGAGGGCAGCTGAAAGCTCACCAGAAACCCAACTACTGCAGACAGTACAGTATAACACAGTATAACACAGAGCATGTGTGTTTCGAAATCAAGATTAATCTTATTGGCAAAAACAGAAAAGGAAGGCTTGTATCCATGTGTATTTTGATTGCACTCAAAAATCTAACATAAATAACAATATTGAATGAATCCAATTAATTAGAGGAATGATTCACGATGAGACTTTTTGTGCTCTTTGGTTTATCACTCACCGTGAAGTGTCTGTATTTCCCACTGTTCATACTATAGACATTGTTGGCAAATGTAATACCTAAAACAAACAAAGCAAATGTGGAACAAATGTGGAACAACAACATAAACAGGATTCAATGTGCAGAGAACATTCAAGTTTCTAAAGCAGCAAAGTTGTGCATGTTTATGTAGAAACTACAGTATTCGGTGCAGTCTTAAAGGACCAGTGTGTAGGATTTAGTTCATACAGTTGGATGTTTGAGCTTCACTGTGCAGAATGATGCATGTGCAGAGTTTGACACTAGAAGGATGTTTTTACATTCATCTCCTGAAAGTGGAAAGTTGTGTGCTCACTGAAAATCTGATTTGTAAGGGGTGGGGCCTACAAGCATGATTTGTGACATCGCAAATAATTTGGGATGAGGACTGACTATTTGTGACAAATCACAAATAGTCAGTCCTGGTCCTGTATGCAACTTGTACAGTGTGATGTAGAAACTTGAAGCCACCAGTGTACATCCACTAAGAATGGGGTTAACAGTGAAGGAGGAGACATGTTGTGTCCAACAGGAAAACTTCGAAATTAACTAAATTTGAATATTCATCGATTCTGGAATTTTTAATGAGGTACAAGGAGGTAATGACTTTTTAAGGATTCTAATATGGTAATTATATGTTTTTGAGGAAAAAATATATCAGACACACATTATTGTTCCAAGCAGACTATTTGTATACATGTCTGGAGGGGATCTTTAAATATATAGTTAATTTAATCTGAACCAAAATGATGATGCCTTATTAAATATATCTCTTTATTCAAAATAAAATAAAAAGCAAAGTGAAAACAGGCTTTTAAACATAGTTACAGTGCATGTACAATAGTGTAACTTTAAGTGTTGGTCCTCAGAGGTAGTAGTCTGGATACTTGTATGTTGAGAGACATTTGTACTTCCCCTCCTCTATGGTGACACACGACAAATTGGGCAAGCAGGGGCAAGTATGGTGGAGCCTTTTCCCAAAGAAAGGAACCTGGGAGCAGAAAGAGAAACACCTTTGGTATGAAGTGTATTTCATTTTCATCAGGTGTAATGCATGCAGTGAAAGATTGTTTTTCAGGCCTCTTGTGTGAATTTTGAAGGTTCTAGGTGCTTTGAAAGCGATGGCACAACAGCAAACTCACAATATTAGCTACCGCAATATTAAAGCTGCAACAGACCACAGGGAAAAGTAGAACCAAACTTTACTGACAGAAAATCCCCTACTGCATCTTTGTAATATGGTGTGGATCAGCTCATGTACCCTATGACCTGCATCATCACTGCCATGACACCACTGTGTGGAGACAAATCGATGACGTGCGACACTTCACAGCATAGAGAGTACCTCTGGAGATGATCTCACCTTGTGGCTCAAAGGGTGACAGTCATCTCCTTCCTGTCCCATGGGCGTGCACATACGCAGGCTGCGAATCCACAAACTCATAGCGCAACACAGCCCCCCTCCACACTGAGAGTCCTTCTCGCAGGCCTACACAAACACACACAGACACACACACACACACACACACACACACACACACACACACACACACACACGCACGCACATCAATTCATATACATTAACATGCATATTAATGACTTAAGCAGACCAAAAAGACTGATTAGTTTTGAAGGAACCGACCGGCATATAATAACAATCTAATAATTAAAGCTTTATTTTTTTAATGTAATGAATTCCTTAATAATCTTATTAAAGTTTGTCATTATTATAAAATTTAAATAAAATGAGGACCAAAATGTATTGAACAGCTGTCACTGTTGTAACTGGTGCTATATCTAATCAAAGGAGAGATATAATTGGTAATTATGTGTGCAATTATATAATGCATGCATATTTGTAATTTTATGTAATGTAATTTAACAAAATGATGTGATAAATGGCAGGTAGTGTGTATAGTGAGCTTTTAGATAGGTGAGAAATGTGTTGCAATACACACTGCAAACTGTTGTTACCATAATGGTATATTATGCTAATGGTGTTATTACAGCATTAGTCATATCATACCTCTAAACACTTGAGGATTGGTGGGGATTTATTGTTTTGAGTGTCTGGATGAGAAGCCGAGTGACAGCTCTCACTTTGGATGAGATGAAGAGAACACAATGAGGAGGAACAGGAGTGATTTCATGTGACAGACGTGGATGAAAATCACTTTCTGTTTTATGGCTGCATGCTCCTCTCCCAAGTCACATCAGCAACACAGTATGAGAGGGTTGTTGTGACAGGGATGGCTGTTTTATTAGCAGGTTATGAGCATGATTTATGACTTGGATGGAGAAATGATTCAAAGGATAAGTTTGCAACTTCACTGCGGGTTGTCATAAATTGATATGTATTGATGGATAAAAAGATAGATATCACGCACATGACATTTTAAATTAAATAAATACAGACTGTGTGTGGCATCTCTAGAATCTATTTTATGTCACATTAAAAATGTTGGTTCTAAAACAAATATACATTTCTACATTATATAATGATCAATTTTAGTACAGGATGTTTCTCCTTAAATAAACTTTTAAAGCACAGTCAATTTCAAGTACTTTATATCATTATTTGGAGAATAATTTGCTATAATTTTAAACAAATGACAATTGAAGGATGAATGTTACAAGAAGGCTTGGTCACAGCATAAATAAGACATGTCAAACACGTAAAAGTCTTTTTCCTGCAGTTGTACTTTATATAATATATAGATATATTTGTCCTGTAATATATATTTTTTTAATTTCTTCTGATTCTTTTGTGTTTTGTGAGTATCCTCCATCTCCAACTAATACTATTCTTTTGCCATTTAAAACCAAAGAAAACATGATCAGGCAACATTTTCTTTAAAGAAAGCAGTAGTCTGAAATGTAAATACTTGTCCTGCATATTCCCATTACACCAAGAGCTTTCTAATTGTATATACCTGTTTGCTCCAACTTACCCCTGTGATGACTGCTGAAGATCCGTTCGACACCAACAACAGGGAGAAGAGCAGTAGGAGGAAGGACCTCATGATGAAGAGCTGTCTTTGCACTCCCGTGCCCTCCAGGGTGAAAAGTAAGGATGCTGAGGCTGTCGGACCTTGCTGCATGTGCATACGTGTCAGACCGCAGAGACAAGTGGCCTCCAAACTCATGTGTCGGGGGCTGGCGGAGGTTTATAAACCCAACCCGCCATTCAAAAACTCTGTGACTCACTCACACCAGCATCACTTCACCGAGGCAAAAAAAAAAAGAAGAAGAAAAGACCAAGGTAAAGTTTAACATGACAATGGCCCTGCCTGTAATTTTTCTGATAATTCTCCTGTCCTATATGATGAATTCATGTTTTCATACAAAAACGCTAAACTATGCTTAAGCTCGTCAAGATCAGTGTGGTGATTTACAGGGAGGCATCCTGTTTTATGTGTCCCCCCACCCTCCTCACTCACTCCAAGGCCACAGTTTTGAATACATCTTTTCAATCCCATTTTTAACAGTGTTCACTTATAAAGCTTTTGAGGCCACTGCAGCACTGAAAATAAATAGACTTGAGTGGCAAAGGCCACCTATGTCAAAGTGTGATTTGTTTGTGTTTGTTCTGAGATACAACAACAGTCAACTACGAGAGAAAATGTGCTCTATGCATGAAAAAGATGTGTCAGAGTTAGACCAAATCAAATCACCATATTGTCTCAACTTTTATTACGGGACACAGAGCTGGGGTGTTGCAATGTTTCTAAATAGCCCAGAATAGACAAATCAAACACCAGCTGCTGTTAGGACATTTCATGTTTTTCGTGAGTTTTGCAGCAACCATAGTTTCTCCTACACACTTCACAGTCCATTTCCATTTCCAGGTCGTCAAATACATTTGCGAGTGCTGTTAGTTGCAATCTTCACTGCTACACACAAGTACATGAATGGACCTAAAAGGGTACAAATGCTTTGTCGCTCCAGCTGTACCCTAGCAAGGTACAAGCATTGTGCATCTGAACATGGTACATTGTTGTACCTTCTTTTCTGTACCCCCAGTGACAAGAGTATACCTTTATGTCCTGGTACGAATCTCTTTTTTTAACCTTATGCAGGGAAGGTTCACTGAGAGGAAGGAATGCCCTGATCACATTTGTACCTGGAAGCTACCCAGTACAACCACAGCGGTTAGACTTATGGGCTTTGCTCAAGGGCACCAAGTGCTGCTTCTTTACTTTATTTATTGAAATAACAATTAGTTTACATCTTTCAACACTTTTCAGTACATTTTCATTGTAATGTTCAGCTAGAACTGATTTGTCCATAACAAGTAAATGCTGAATCAAGTTTTAAACTCTGTAAGTGTCAGCAGTGCCGTCTACAAGTGCACTTTCCATGGGCACATACCACACAGGACTGCAGGGGAAAAGACAGGTCGCACTATTCAACTCCTCAGGGGCTCCATAAGGGAGGGCCACGGCCTAACATGAAGTTCAATAAATACAGAAAAAGGAGTCCCCATGGAGGAATGCAAAGAATGAGAAAATAGATCCAGAATTAAACAGTGATAAAACTTAGATAAAATAAAATTGGGACTAATGGCTAGTGGAAGCATGTCACTCTGTTATACTGACAATTAGCTACTTGATTAAATTAACAAAAACACTGAAATAGATCCATTGTGAGCTTGCCAATACACTAAATAAGGGCATCAGTGCTGTCCTAGTTCTTTGCTCATGAAATTATTACTAGTAGCCTATTGTATTTCAATCAACCCATCTGTCAGCCATGATTTTGTACCTTTAAAATTAAACCAAAGGTCAACAGTTATCACTTTTCTGACAAATGTGCCTTTGGGTACAGAAATGATACCCCTGTTTCTCTGTGTTTAGCAGTATAGTTGCAGATTACAACACCCTAGCCTCACCCTCTCAGGAGGGGACGACACACAGCACAGGTTGGATTCGAACCCATGTCCGCTGCAGCAAGGACTCAGCCTTGGAACATGACATGCCAGCTCTACCAGCTACGTTACCTGGGCGCCCCTTATACTCCATTGCTGCCAGTAAAGGTTACACCTTTAAGTAATTTACCAATTAATAGTGTTTCATCTGTTTGATATCATTGTAAGCTGATGATCTTTGCAGCCCTTCACAATAGTGTCTGACTTCTAATAGCAGTTTTATCGTTTTATAATTTATTATATATACAGTATATTTTATTATACATAACAACCATATTTATATAATGGCAAGTGGCAATACCTCACATGGAAAAAAACAAAGCAAACAAATACACATGGACTGTGGTAGCAACCTGTGGAGACCTCAGATTACTGTAGTGAAGGAACAAAGTAGTACCATCGCCTGAAGTCAGTGTGTCTCAGAACAGTGGCACCTCATATCTAGCCGACTGACACGGCCAATCAACACTTCTGAGCTAAATCTGTCTTCATCACAGCTTGGCGGAGTGACACTGACAACTGAGTCACACAGGAAGATAAGAATCCAGCATGCAACAGTGACCCATAAATGCCCTGTTTCATCTCAACTACTATACTGAATAATGCAAACTATGGAAGACAAATTGGAAGGACCTTTTAGTATTTGTGGAGCACTGTCTAAACACACAGGGAATTTTCATTGGAAAAATAAGTTGTATTGTAGTTAATAGCAGTTTCACATTGTCCACATTTGACTAGAGGTACTAACAGCTGACTACTTCCTAAAGCTCCAAGGACATAAGGGTTTTATACTCTTCAAGAAGCTCAGAAATGTATTTTGGCCCAAGGTTGTTAAGTGATTTATAAACTAACAACCACACTTTAAAATATATTCTATGACGTGCAGGAAACCAGGTTTAAAGACTTAAAATCAGGCATAATGTGTTCAGTTCTCTGGGTTCTTGTTCTCTGGCAGCAGTCTTTTTGGAAAGGCCAGACAAAATACATCTCGTCTTCACATAAGACCTTTAATTTCTACTGTTTGTTTAGGATGACACTGGTTAGGTATGGCCTTGATGTGGCCTTGGTTCAGATCTGAGTCTATTAACAACAAGGTTTCTAATGTGGCCTTTTGTCTTTATAGTTCTGGAATCAAGCTGGTACCAAATACAATGACTTCTGGCTTGTCTTTATTTAACTGAAGGACATTTAACTGCAACCAGCTATTTATTTGTTCAAAACACGGGCACAACAGAATTGCATCGTTTGGGTGTTGTCAGCATAAGCATTATTATTTTCTTGCATAATTTGACCCACAGGCAGCGTGTACAGGTTAAATAAAAACCTTGAGAAGCAGCTGGACTTGCAAGATCAGGGGATCACACAAGAATCCATCTGGCCAGACAAGCTTTTGTGCTTACATCCAAACGCTGTGATTTGGACCAATCAGTGACCTGTGAGGAACTACTTGCAGTTACGACGTGAGCTACATGCGTGGTTTAATGCTAGGTGTATGTGACGACATGTCGGTGAAGTGGAAGCTTGAAAACAGCAATGGCAGTTGCTAAAGAGGTTAGCATAGATGCCACAAGAGCAAAGAACGACACTGAATACTTTTCTTGATGGAAAAGATGTTTTCACACTTCTGCCGACTGGCTACAGTGAGAGTTTGACTATGTTATATGGTTCATTTATCTAATTGGCTAAAGTTTGTCCATGATAGACAGTGATAGACAAATCACCTGCAGAGTATTTTTTGAAGGTGCCCGCCCTTTTCCAGTTTCCAACAACAACTTCCCAGAAGGTTCCGTGTAACAAACCATCTGGCGCATCCAGGTTAGATAAAAAATAGGGGCCCAAGAATCATACCCTTTATGATCCCAATTGTAACGATGTAACGTCTGCCTTTGAGATATGATATGAACCAAGATAACTGTACGAGAAAATCCTACACACTTCCTGTCTATCTAGAAGTCATATCACTCAGAAATATATTGATTGATCACATGACTTTTGTTCATTGAGGTTTGAAATGGAAACATATCCTTAAATCTCAACATCCTGCTTCTGTAAATAGAACAGTGTATATACACTATTACTTATTAGTAATATAATATAGTGAGTTATATCCAGTGTATTGCTGCCACAATGCCAAAATATTTAATAACTTGGCATGCATAATCTGAATGGTGCTATTCTCATTACTACACATTGTTGACCAACGCACATTTTAAATCCTTGAATAGACAGCACACCAAATGACTAGACTGCCTGCACAGACCAATCATTGGACAAAGTAACACAAACAAACATTTCATAAATAAAATAAAATCAGAAGAGAAGAAGTGAAGAAAAGGTTACAGCTTTATAAACTATAGCTATATACAGCTATACTGCAGAGAACAACCTTCTTTTTTCTTAGAAGAGCATTTGCATTCTGTTGTTTTACATGGGGTTTTGAAGTGAAGAGCATGGTTAAATCAAAGAAAACAGTAAACACAGAACAGGAGCCAAGGGCCTTAGAACAGAGAGACTATTTGAAGAAAATTGATCCATCTGGTTTAAAGTGAAGCTTCACATCAGTAAAATGAAATCTGGTTTGCTGCAGGTTTATTGCAACACTGAATATTTGTTTTACTGTTTTTTGAGGAGACAGAACTAATCATTATTTGCCTTTATGACGTTTATTATTACTATTGTTTCTAGTCTCACATGCTTTTCTAATTACCAGTTTATTTGGATCATGATCTCTTAAAAAAAAGACCTGACAGACAGGTCAACAGAGATTACTGGCTCCTGGGAACCCCCCCTTTTGGCAGCGTATTTTACACTAACTGTTTTCTGATCTAATGATAGAAGACAGGTACAGAATAGTGCTTACATCCTTGACAAAGGCCATTTCCCTGGGTGGCTGACCCACCACAGTGCAGCAGGATGAACCATGTCTTTAACCACTGGAAATAAACAGACATGTTGGATTTCACACACTGCAGCAGAGCCAGAGCTGCCGTCATTCACTCATCCACTGACTATCCTTCTCCGCCATCTCCAATCTCATTTGCTCCACATCCATAAACATGTGAGAGGGACACATGCCACTAGATTATGGCAATGTGGCGAACATCAGATTCTGTCTGCCAGGGCATGTCATCAGAGGATCAGCCGCTTGGATGACATAATGTCGCTGCTGTTGCTGCAGCATCACACTCTCAGCGGGCCTCCTTCTTTATTTCGTGCCACACAATATGCCAGCATCCCTCGCTCGCACATAATTGCAGTTTTTTGCCCTCTCTCTATTACGTGACGCTCTTGTCC